CTTAGAAAAATTGCTCATTTCAGATGCATCGCCACAAGTTTTATTTGTGCCTCCTCCTCCTCTCACGATCGTCTTGCTGAAGGTCTGTCTCTGCTGTTGAAGTTTCCAGAAACGCGGCTCGCGTGTCGCTGACCTTCTCTCCATGAATTTCTGCGGGTTCTTCCTACTTCTTTTGGGGTTTATTCCCTTGTTGTTGGTATTGGGATTTTTTAAAGCACCTTTAGTTGAGTGCTTACCATTTATCTCAGTCTTTTATGTTTTCATCACTGCATTTAAAGCTGTAAATCTCCCTCTAAGCGTTCTTTCTTGGCATCCCACACGTTTCCATATGTGTGCCCTTGTTGTTGTTCAGTTCTGAATAGTCTGCATTTCCACTCTGATTTCTCCTTTAACTCAAATTATTTAGGGCTCTGCTTTTTAATTTCCATGCTTGTCTGTGTCTTTTTACATTATTTTTATTGTTGATTTCTTACTTATTTGCTGTCAGCAAATTGGTCTATGGGATCTAAACCCTTGGAAACGCTAAGCTGTACCTGCGGGAGGTTTCACTCCTGAGTGAGCTCTAAGAACTCCCCCAACCTTTGCCTCAATGAAGAAACCTGCCAGTGACATGGCTGCCTTCTGCTGCCGAGCAGAGATACCAGGTGGTTCTGCATTCCCTAAGCTCCCCAGAAGCTCACCTGGGGAAGGAAGGTCCACTTTCTTCTGCTCCTTCTGTGAAGGTGAAACCTAATATTCTTGGTTACAGCTAGGTCCAGAGGAGAAGGCAGGCATTGCCGAGGGCTCCCCCAGGAACTTCTGCTCGGACAGCGGAAGGGCGGCAGCTCCCAGGGTTGGTACTTAACTCAGGGACAGGACCCGCAGTCTCCATCAGAGCTGTCCTTACCCTCCCTGCGGACGGTGGCTGGTGTCGGCAGGGAGCCCTGTGCTGGCCTCTGCAAGTCCTGAGTGGTTATCAGAGCCCACTGTGCTTTGGCTGTTTCCTTGGGATCATGAAAAATTCAAGAACCCAAAATGAAGGGCTCAAGAAGTTACCCTCAGCCCCTACCCCTCACAAGGGGAAACCCAGCGTCGCTGGCCCTCTGATAGGTTGCATGATCCCAAGAGCAGAGGTGACGAGATTGATCTGTGGGCAGCGTGACGTCATCAGGCTCAGGGAACCAGACAGACAGGGGACGTTCTGGGAAAGAGCAAACGCAAGGTGATTGCAGAAACCAGAAAGCAGCGGCAGACCTACAGCAGCCAATGGGAGATAAACATCAAAGGAATTCTCTCAGTTGCAGGAATGTAGACATAGCCTTTTATTTTTATTTTATACTAGTTAGTTCCTTCTGTCTGATATATATTTTTTAATTTTATTATTTTTATTTCCCAGATGCTTAAAATTCCAATTTAGACTTTCTCTTTGACTCAAGAATTAAAAGAACATTAAAAAATTTCTAGGTAGATTTTTTTTGTTAATCTCAAGTTTTACTGTATGGTGATTGGGGAACACAGTTTCTGCTATGTCTCCTTAAGGGGATGTATAAAGCTTTTGGTCTAATTTTGTAAGTGTTCTGTGGGCGTTTGAAAAGTATATTCTCTGTCCTTGGGGCAGTTAGATTTCCCTTATTAATTAGATTATTTAGTTCTTCCGTATCTTTTCTGTAAACTTCATCTGTCACGGACTAAGAAAAGTGAATTAGGGTCTCCTACATCTGATGCCGTTGTGTTTATTTCTTTTTCTATTTCTTTAGATTTCGCTTAATGAATTTTAATGCTACTGTTTTTCTTTATAGAAATTCATGACTGTAATATTGTAACATCTTTATTGTGGATGGATATTTTAATATTATAAAGAGCTCTTTTTTTTTTACCTTATTTAATGTGTTCCCCTCCCTGCAAATTCAGTCTCAGCTGGTATAAGACTGTGACTTAACTTTTTTTCCCCTTGTATTTGGCTCTTATTTTCAACTTTTTTTTTGACAGTTTTCTGAGGATATTTTTCTTACAATAGATGAGCTTATCCCATTAACATTTATTGACACAACTTAGTTCTGTATCACATTTTATGACCTACTTTTGCTTTTAAGGATTCATTTGGTTTGTATTTTTCTCTAGAGCACGTTTATTTCTTTAATTTGTTTTACATTTGTTCCTTTTGATAATTCAGAATGGTTTGTATTCTCATTTGCACTCTCCTCATAGTTAGCCTTATACAAGAACTTCTAAAAATATACTTTATCCTCTATTTCTCTAAACCACACCTATGTATTCCTACCACAAGCAATGACAAAATTATTATACTTCCATTCATCCCATCTCGTTCACTCTACCTGACTTTAATTAATATATTATTATTATTTCTTCAAGTGATCATTTGTAATTTTGAATATACTTATATCTCTGTTATTTGACTTATAAGATGTAAATACTGTCTTTTGACTTTGAACATTAAAGATAAGGAATAAAGACCCTTTTGACACCCCTCATCCTCTTACATTTCCCCTTCTTGGGTTTTGTTAATTTTATTACTTTTACTGGCACAGTTCATAATATTAACATTCTGAACAATCAGTAGTGATGGAGAGGACGCACCCTGGAACCAGACTGCCTAGGTTGGAGTCTTGGTGTCATCGTTTTGCGGCTTCAACAAGTTGCTCGGTAGTATTTCTGTTCCCTTATTTTCACCACGGATGTAACAACAGTTCTCCCTCACAGGGCTGTTGTTGTGATAATAAAAATATAGCCCTGGAACCATGCCTGACACACAGTAAACATCTAGTAGCTGCCGGATGCTGTGTAAGCAATCATTATGAAATTGATTCCCGGAGCCCTTTTCCTCCCAGTCCTACATTTCAGCTGGTTTCCGTGCTCACCTTCGCTGTTCGTCTCTTGGTCACCTAAAATTAACTCATTCTCTAATGATTCTGCAAGAAATGCGAGAAATGGGAATTCTGTCTTCTGATCCTAACACGTTCAAAAATATGTGATGCCTTGTACTTGAAAGAACGGTTGGCTGTGTAAAATAGCCGTTGTTGTAAATACATGTAAAGGGCACATATGTAAATACATGTCAATAGAAAATGTGTACATGTGTAAATATACATGCAGACACATAAATAGTAAATATATGTAAATGTAAATACTATATTGAGCACTGTTGGAACCACAGGAGATCTATACCTATTTTTTCATCACACCACGTAGTAAGGCCATCAATCCAGTACTGTTTACATCCCCTTCTGCAGATGAGAAGATCAGGATGCAGGCAGGTCACACTTCCTTCCTCAGGCTTTGCTGTTGCTGCCCCACCATTCCTGACCTTTGAATGTGGCGCGGAGAAATCTGCAGCCAGTCTGATTTATTTCACCTTAAAGGTGTCTTGATCTTTCTGCCTGGATGTTCAAGGACTATTTATTTTTGAAGTTGAGAAAAATTCAGTGGGATGTGTCGCAAGGGTCATTCTATGTCAGTTTCCTTGGGACATTGTGTATCCTTTCAATCTGTAGATTAAAGTCTTCTTTCACTTATGTGAAGTCTGCTTAAGTTCCCCCTTGATTATTTGTTCTTTTCTACATGTCCTGTTCTCCCTCGTGTGGACATGATGGATATCCTTTGTCTTCTATGATTTTACCTCACATTCTTTTTAGTTCTTTTCAGATTTCCATTTCATTTTCCTCAGCCTGGCTCTCATGAGTCTTACTGTGCTATTATCTTTGTCTAACCTCCATTTCCCCCCCTTTTTGTAATGTGGTTTTATTTTCTAGGGTTTTTTTCATTTTCTTCCTTCCTGAGTTCTGCTAGCTTACTTTACTCTTCTTTATTTTTGTCTCATCATTATGTCTTCTGCTCTGAGGCCTTGTTTTAAGCTGTCTCATTAAGTCCTTTGAATTCATAGCAATATTTTCTGGGAATTTTATTTGCCATTTCCTTTTCCTGTTCCTTTCCTCCTTTTCCTTATAAATTTGCTGTATAGATCTCACCCTTGTTTTATTTTGGTTTTTACTCATGACTGAATGAAAGTAGTTCTTCAACCAGCTATTTGCAGGAAGCAGCCGGGGCAGTGAAACAAGCAAGTAATGAAACTTCTGTGGCCCAGAGTGTGTGTGTGTGTGTGTGTGTGTGTGTGTGTGAAGAGGAAAAAAGATGAGGGAGACAGAGACACTCACACACATTGCTTTGGCCAGTGCATCTCCCCAGCGACTACAGAGACGCTCACCACGTGGTCTGTCTCGTCCCTCATGCCAGTGACCGTCTGCCTCCAACACAGATAACGTTCTTAAGGCTTTGATCGTTTAGCACTGCCTCGCCCTGCCACTTCACGATGCCAGATAGAGTCCTTAGAAGCGCCCAGAGCTTGTGCCCCTTAAACGTGCGCTGCAAACCAGCATGCTGGTTCAGCTCCGCCGGCGCACCGCCTGTTCCGTGCTCTGCCAACCCTGTCTGCGAAGTGAGGTCTCAGCAGGCATTTAATCTCAGCATCCATCTGGACTCTGGTGTAATTTTCACTGAATTCGGCAGGTCTTCCTCATTTATGGGGCCTTAGGGTTACATTGGTACCTTGTTTTGTCAAAGAGTTCAGTTTGTTTTTATTTTTTTCTTGTTTTGGGGAACCGTCAAGGATGACAAGATGAGAGAGGGCACTTAATTTTGTTACTCGAAAATATTTTGGTATTTTAAACTTTATTTTCTCATTTATTTTAAACCCAGAGCCATCTCTAAAAATAGAGTGCCCTTGCTCTCAGAGAGCGTGGGTACCGCGGCGTCTCAGGCCAGGCTGCGTGGGGAGTAGCTGCAGAATCCTGTGCGCGCCCTGACTGCGGCGAGAGCGCGCGCCATCGTGGAGCTAGTGCGGGGCAGAGCCTGGGTTCAAGGCCAAGTCTGTCCGAATCCAGAGCCTGAGTTCTTCTCATCACAGAGCTTTCTCTTAAAGAATACAAATACTTCTTTATAGTGTCTTTGTTGTGTTTCTTCTTATGAACATTTTTCTACTAACTGATTTTTTTTCTGGTTTTTAGTGTGACAAGTACAAGACCGGAGTTATTGACGGGCCCGCATGTAACAGCCTCTGTGTTACAGAAACTCTTTACTTTGGAAAGTGTTTATCCACCAAGCCCAGCAATCAGGTATGCATATATGAAGAAACACTGCAGATTTACGGTGCTCTCCAACGTTACTGTAAACTAAATGAAAGCGTTGTTAAAAGAATCTTGAACTAGGGCTGCAGGCCATTTTAAGTGCTGCAGTTTTGTACGCTTTGATTCACTCATCCAGCAGATCTATTAATCCCTATTCCCAGGATGTTCTACACAGTGTTTTAGTTATTAGGAAGACAGTCATTGGTGACAGTAGGTCAGATTATAATTCAGAAAGATACATGCACCCTAGTGTCCATAGCAGCACTGTTTACAACAGTCAAGACATGGAAACAAACTAAATGCCCCTCGACAGATAAATGGATAAAGAAGATGTGGTATATTTATACAATGGAATACTACTCAGCCATAAAAAGAAATGAAATAATGTCATTTGCAGCAACATGGATGGACCTAGAGGTTATCATATTAAGTGAAGTAAGTCAGACAGAGAAAGACAAATATCATGATATTGCTTATATGTGGAAATCTAAAAAAATGACACAAATGAACTTATTTACAAGCCAGAAATAGACTCACAGATGTAGAAATCAAATTTATGGTTACCAGAAGAGGAGGGAGTGAGGGGTAAATTAGGAGTTTGGTATTAACATATGTAAAATAGATAACCAACAAAAGGGCCTACTTATAGCATAAGGAACTATACTTAATATCTTGTAATAACCTATAATGGAAAGGAATATATGTGTGTGTGTGTGTGTGTGTGTGACTGAATCACTTTGCTGTGCACCTGAAACTAACACAACATTGTACATCAACTATACTTCAATAAAAATTTTTAAAAAATAGATAAGATTACTTCCCTGTGGGTCTCACATTATCCCAGAGAGGTGGGGATATAAACAGTTGATAAATGAGCAAGGTAATTACAGAATGTGGTGTGTTTTACATAGGACATACAATTTCCCACAAGCTGATGGAGAATGAGGCAGTGGAGATGGCAGAGATGTGCTTTAAAAGAGGTGATCAGGGAAGACCTTTCTAAGGTAAAACCTGAGCTCATACCTGAATGGAGAATTAAACTACAGCCATGGCCAAGGGATAGGAAGAGCTAAATCACAAAAGAACTATAAATAGCTGATAAGAATAATGAAAAAAATATTCTCCCTTTTTGTCGTCAAAAATACAAATTCAAACAATAGGATACCTCTGGGCTAGAAGAAAATACAACAAAACATCAACACCGGTTACCCTTGGGCAGTGGAATATTGCATGAATTTTTTTCTCAATATCCCCTTTATTTATTTTATTTTATTTGTTTCACTGAGGAATAGTCAGTTTACAATGCTGTGTCAATTTCTGGTGCACAGCACTGTGCTTCAGCCATACATGAATGTACATATATTCATTTTCACATGGGGTGAGAGAGTGACTTGTGATGAAGAGGGCTCTTTCCAGATGGGGGTTGGGAGGCCTCCCTAAGGCGACCTCCGGGCTGGACGGGAGTCATGTGCAGGAGCAGCCCATGCAGACGGTGAGAGTGCATTCTGGGCAGAACCAACAGCGCACGAAGGAGGTCACAAAGCAGGAACAGTGTTGGCAGGTTCAGGGAACAGAACCAAGATGACTGTAGCTGGGATACAGAGACCCAGCGCGTGAGTGGTAGAGACCGGGTTGGAGAAGCAGGCCAGCTCATAAGAAGCCTAGCGGGTGATGGGAAGGGCTTTGGGCTTTCTTCTTATTGAATCAGAGGGTTTGAAGCAGAGGAGTGATGTCATCTGCCTCATTTGGATTAATATTATTGCTAATTAATATGATTATATTTGTTTTTTATATACAAGCAAGAGCAGACGGCCTGGTTTCTGCACGCTGCTTCACTTCTCTCTGCTTCAGGCTCCCCGTCAGTGAAGTCAGGGTAGTAACAGGGTGCACTGCAGAGGGGTGCCCCAGGGAGGAAGGTAGCCAGGTAAATGAGCAGACCAGAGTACCCAGCAAGCGCCAGACCATGTCAGTTTGATAAACAGCTGGGCCGTTAACAGCGACGAGGTCTGGGGTGAGGAATTAGGGGAATGGACGTAGGACTTTCCCTTTCATCCTTCTGTGTAATTCGACCTTAACATTTTTTATTTATGCTATAAATACTTACACTGAGCAATAAGAAGTATTTCTAATGAACAACCAAACCTTACAACCTAAGGGATTAGAAAATGAAGAACAAACTAAACCCCATTGACACCAGCAAACTGGATAATCTAGACGAAGGGGCGAATTCCTAGAAACACAAAACCTACTAAGACAGAAAATCCGCACAGACCTGTAACTAGGAAGGAGACTGAATCAGGATCACAGGTCTCCCAGCTAACGCCATTGCTGCACATGGATGGACCTGAGATTGTCCTACTAAGTGAAGTCAGCCAGAAAGAGAAAGAAAAATACCATATGAGATCACTCATATGTGGAATCTTT